TACTTGTTTGTCCCCATCACATTGGGCTCGAAATCATTGTCTATATGTTTAGGTTTGTGCACATATTTATCAAGTCAAGAAAACTATTGCCTCTGATAGATTATCATTGGCCTCACATGGACAGGCCACATTTTGTTCACTTTTATGCTAAGTCAAAAATCTATTGCTACTGATTAACAATCAGTGGTTGTATTAATTTCAACTCGAAAGTTGATGCAGACTGCCGAAATCAGGTCGACGCCGCCACAACCACCCAACGACAGCCACATTTCAACATAACACCCATCTGTCACTTCCGCAAAACACTCAGTTACGCGTTCTAAACTGAGCTTCAATCTTAACCATCTGATGAAGGTGTATTGCCAATAACTGGAGTTTGCATAACCACAATTGTCAACATCGTCTTCGTCATGATCATCAGCGCAATCCCTTGGCAGTAGACTTAAAGTTACTCCGCTAATCAGCAGCCAGACCATGTTGCTCAGTTATTCCATCCATGCATAAATCTAAGTCTCACTACAAAGTAGGATGTTACGTGTGACACGAGGTAACTGTTCCACCATCGTCTATCTTAGATTTACGACTTGTTATCAATATAGAGCAGTAGTAGAAGGGCCATCTCTCTAAAAGTAGATGACGTGGTTTTGGTACTAGCATGAGTATCACATATCCGGTGAACTGCACGAATCCCACAATGTTGCCAAAGCGTAAGGAACCTGGCGATATTTTCCTTCTTGTCAACTCCGAGTTCTACTGATTCCATCAATTCGCTGACAAGTTGAGCATTCACATTAGCGCCTTTTATCATTTCCCATCGCATCATTTCACTTTGTTTCAAGAGAAACAAAATTAAAACAGGAATTCATTTAAAGACGGCGAACGCAGAAACATGTGAGGAGAATTCAGTCGATGGCAGGAGATTTGCGCACGTGGGGGGAGCGGATGGTCAGATGGCCACAGGGGGGAGGTCGAACTACCTCGCTGACCAATGGGCGCGACAAGATGCCAGTTAATGGGGAAGAAGCACGGTGAAAAGGCGGCAAAGGGGACCACTGCCTTGTTTTCTATTTTGCCACACACCTTGTCACTTATCACCTCATCGAAGGGGACTGAATGCAGAAAACTAGTTGGACATTTGCACCTGTACCGCGTTGGCCCTTATGCAGCCCACTGCTGTCCCACAAAGAATGCGTGGCATAGGTTAGAAGGCAGGTTACAATCAGGCTTCATTGCCACCTTGCATGGTGTTGTCCGATTCTCACAACTGTCCCGGCAGTTTCCAGTTTTTGTGATCAAAATTAATCATTGATGTGGATGGAGAATGAGACCACCAGAACACATTATCACCAGTCTTAATCACACCGATCTGTTCTTGACCCTTTTGCTGTAGTCCATGACTTCAAATTGACTAGAAAAATGTTTTCTCAGGTAACACTTACTTAGTCTGCGAAACAATATTTGCACAAACATACTCCCGAACGGGATGTCAGCATTTGCTACCAGGCCTCCTGGCGATTGGCTGCGTAAATCAATGTAATTTGAACTGAATGTGTTGACTTGAGCCATATGACGTGCCTTTCCACTAACAAACGACACTAAACGTCAGGAATACTTAATCTGAGGAAATGCAGTCGTAAGTAGCTACGCCTCACAGTGTTCGACATATTGCCTTAGATGCTGGTAATAACTACCAATATAGAAGCTGCACATTTGTTGCTACCAATGTGCTGAGTGTGGCTTCGACATGCGGAAATGGTCAACTTGCACATATGCAAGCATCGACTTCGATTTGGCATTTACACTAATCGTGAAACACGTAGCACGTCCGATGGTGTGAAAATCAGTCGTAAATTAGGGATTTCACCACGTTCTTTTAGAAGCTTATTCATGTCTGATGCCACCACTTAAATACGTCACGTTTCACACCAAAGTTCGCGTCTACAACCACGCAAAAAACTGCTACATTCCATCTGTCAACTGGCCTTTTTGACTAGATCCACAAACAATTCGTGCATCCTTTGCTTCATCGCGTCAGTTGCAACCAGGGTAAAAATCTAACACGGAACAACGATTTTTAGCCACCTAGTGAGCATCCGAAGCCCTGCGGGCTCAGTCTGTCATTCTGCCTCACGCTTTCTCCGATTCTTGGCCAAGTAAGTCACACTACCTCCAACACTCTCCATAAGCATCCACCGACAAAATACGAGTTCCCAGTGTCCCACATGTTTCCAAGAATGCACTTTAATATTCTCGCCAAAAAACGCTCACCACTCCTAAACAGGCAACATACCGAACACATTCACCCAGATTACTCACTCATGGACTAGTTTTGCAAGTCAACATATTGCAACCACTTACGCTACCAAACCTGAATCTACACCTCACAACTAGAACACATCGGCTCTGTAAATCAGCATCCATCAATCCTTGACACACATCCATTTTTACATAATGCTTTGCTAAGTTTGCATGCCTCTAAATTCGCATGGAGTGCCCTACATACAGGTGGCTGCTGAGGGTTGTTCATCGTGCGTTTAAGTCAAGGCATCATCTAGACCACAACATTACCATCGTGAGTAAACACGCTTATAGTATCGATCGGAAAAAAGAACCTGTTTTTTGCCATATTCTACGACTTGCTCCAACATGTAAATCAAAACAGAACCACAGTCTGGCTGTAAAAAATAAACATTCAATAGTATGTACAAAAAATACGCACGAGACAACACAGTTTCTCCACGGGGTAAAATTAGGGAAAGCAGCTCATCTCTTCAAACGCGATTGCTTGTAAACACATCTCTAGTCCTGCAACTGCAATGACTCCTCTTTCATCACTTCCTGAAACACAAAATTCAAGAGCTGTTCTCAAAGCAGCATATACAACCACACGCGTCATTTTCCTCCCGAAAACATAACCTCCAGTCAAGTAGTGTTTTTTTGCTATGCATATGCTGGACTAGATCACCTTAGCTAGTCCCATGCTCGCATAAAGTGCATCGCGCTAACCACCCAAAACGTCATTCCAAGCTTGGACGGCATTTCAACTCAACTCATGAACTCCAACTACAATCCTCGTACAATGAAAAACACTCTGCTTTTGGCCACCAAACACATCTACACACCATGACACCCTGCTACTCCTACACAAATGCCCTTCGTTGCATTCACCAGTAGCGCAATAGGCTCGCAACATGACACCAAGAAATGCAAGACACGATTCTTACCAAGTAGTCGGCCACAAACGTTTTTGCCCTCTCGTCAACTTTCGACAGACGCTCAATTTCGGCATTCAGTTTTTCCACAAGGACACACAACTAGTAGCACAAAGTCACAACACGACAAATCTCACCTCCTCATTTTCCGACAAACTCTCCACTAAAGCCAATCGTCGACTTTCAGCCAACGCCTTCCAATACTCCACTGATGGTTCTTCTACAAAACTAGTCCTGTGCTATTCATGCCTTACCACAACACAACATTTCCAATTCCTTCGCTGTGCCATCAGGCGCTTGTGTTGCAGCATGCGACTGCTGGGGAGACTTCAGAGCTGACCTCGCAGCTCCACAGTGTTGGCACATCGACGAAGACGTCTCCTTGAAAATTGACAAACACGCTGTATTTGTCTGTTTAACTAATGACTCCTTGTTGACATTGTCGCCGTTTTCTTTATTTCTTAATGCTGCAATCGGTTCCTTTCTGACATTTTGCTTCCTCGTTTCCTACAGAGTTTATTTGCAAATATATCATTTACCATCCCCAATGTTTCCTTTTTCAGGTAATCATTCTCTACTGTTCGAACAGAGAGACCTCGACGACTGACAATCATTAAGACTAATACACACACGACTCAGCCAACCACCTGAGATCTACTCAGAATCAAAGGTGCCGCCTTTGTCCGTGGCAGGAATTCCGGTCGATTTAAACAAAGAAGTAAATCTGTAATAATATTTACAAGTATGCAACATATTTTATAACAATACATGTACAGCAACGTAAATCTATTTTATTACAACAAAATGGCGCTGCTGGGTGAGAATAGCAGTTGTGTGTGAGGATCAAATATGGAGAATTTGAGTATTAGAAAGTTTTGGCGGAAAGTGTTAATAGATTTGAAGACATTCACAAAGATAGTAAAATAGATCATTTGTTTGAAAACAAAATAAGATATTGCGAATAAAGTTCAGGTAAATTAGAGAACCTTGGTAATATGTAATACCATGCGGCTACTTACCAACCTGAACAATGTCAAAAAGTCATGTCTTCTTTAAATATTTGGCAATATATTGTCGCGGAAAAAAATTATTTGATGATCAACAAACTGTCTAAGCTACTTTCTGTCGTTGATATCTGTGCGTGGAAAGGCTAATTTATGAATGACTGCTTCGTGAGCGATGAGAAATGGAAAGCGCACTTGAATTCATGTTTGGAAATATATCCGTGGATAGCATGGATAAAGGAGGCGATTTACAGTAAATACGTTTTTGCAGGCCATTTCAGCAGCCTCTAACAACCACCACGTATAAATAGAAAAAACATTACAAAGACCTGAATGATGTTTGTAAGTGATGTAGGTACTTGCCACAACTACCACACTTCACACATGACTAATTCTTATGCTCACAACTCGCAGACTCTCTGGTGTACCAGCTAAACCACTATCTATGTCCATCTTCGTCTAACGCCCCCACTTACTTGCCTAACAGTGAATGCGCAAACAATTTTTTGCGCACCGTGCTGTTTTCACATATGTCCAGTCCAACCTTGCTACAGGATGCACGTCTGATACAAAACCAACATTCAACGGCAAACAAACAATAATGCCTGCGTTGACATACATCTCATCAATCTCCTCCAACTAATTTTAGTGTCAAATCAGACAGCGACAGCAAAATTGAAATAACTGCCCTGGTTTGTGCGTGCGATCCACATCAATGACCTCAACAATTTTGCGCGCCAAAACTAAGCTCTTTTAACTTCTTGCAGGCTGGTACACGACCATCTGCAACAACGCCCATGGAAGCTCTGTGTCATATTTTCCGCAAAATTTTCAAAATATTCAACTGAATCCCCTTTAATACTGGTTGAAATATCGAATGTCAATCCTTCCCAATGAGTCACACGTAACATACCCGAATGTCCAAACCTGTCCTCTTTGCTCCACTTTTGATTAATCTATTGGCCTAGCCTATGCACTTGACTTTCGTCAATCTTGGAGATTTTAAACCTGCCTCGCAGATCTCTTTTCTGACAGACTCATGGATTCCTCACCTCCAATCTCGACTTTCAAGCAAATCAAAGACCGCCGAAATCTTACTCCACTTATTAGTCATTGCGTGTTAGCATTTTTAAGATCATAATATCAGATGGTGACCTCAACAATTGTGTACGCCAACACTGATCCTTTTGAACTTCTTGCAGGTTGGTACATGGTCAAGTGCAACAACGTCTGCGGAAGCTAGGTGTCTTATTTTTCGCAAACCTATTGAAATATCCACCTGAATCCTCTTTAATACGGGTTCAAATATCGAATGTCAACTCTTCCCAATAAGTCACACTGATTCCGTTTACGTGACTTAACCTAGTGTATTAACCTATCCTCTTTGCTCCACTTTTACCAAGATGATTACCTTCTTAATTTCCAGACATTTTTATTTCAACCATTGGCCAAGCCTATGCAAATACATTTCACACCTATCTTGCAGATCTCTTTTCTGACACACTTATGGATTCCTCACCTCCAATCTCAGCATGCACACACAAAGTTTACTTACCATTCAGAAACGCCGCAGAAATCGGAGGCAGTAGAAGAGTGTGCCATGGTTTTTTAACAACCAACCACACGTTTTCACAAATATAAGCAAATCGTAACAATCACGTGCTTTGTACAATGAAATGATAACGTCAGAACAGTTGCATTAAACATCAACATCGCGTCGGCGTTTCCTCGTTTAA